ATATATATATATATATATGTAGACTATTTAATCTGAATGCTTTCTAATCATTTTTAATTACTTAAATCTATCATACATTTTTTTTCTATTTCTCAATTTTATTTTTATTTATATATATATTTATTTTTTTGTCATACCATAAATACTACCAAGCTTAATTTTATTATAAACCTGTAAAATTATTTTTTTACTTGAAAAATACTTAATTATAACACATTTATTTGAAAATTGTAAATGTCTAGCATATTGACGTCTCATTTAAGACTTAAATTTAAGAGAAATCATGTTTATTTTTCTTCAGTGTAGACGTGTAAACATACGAGTATAATGCTTAAAAATGTGTCTATTTCACTATTTAAAACACAAACACACACAGATAAAAAGCGATACAAAATATTTTCTCATAAAGTTCGTAGGAGTTTGAAGTTTATGCATGCGCACAATAAAAAGGTTAAATATTTGGAAATTGTAAAATAAATGTGTACTTCAATAGTTCCTAACTATTTATATTTAATAAATATTCGAATTGTAGTAAAACACATAATTAATACAACATAAAACTTGGTTCACATTATAACAAATCATTTTTACGTAAACCAATTATGACTCTTGATAAAACGTTAGTTGGACAGGTCCATTTCGTCAGCACTGCCACTTTTGAACCTTAATACCATTACTTTACAGTATTATGTAAATTATTTTGTACAATTTTGTACAACCAATATAAAATTTTGTACAACCCCCCCCCACACGAGAAAACCCATTTTTATCATGCACGTGCCGGGGAAACGTTCCCCCAGCACTGCCAATGACCAATTATTATTTTATCAAAATTTAATTTATACAGTATTATGTACATTATTTTGTACAATTTTGTACACCCGTCAAAACACTATAAAGCTCCGTTTTTACTATGTGCGTGCTGAAGTAACATATCTAATATTCGAACTACGTGTTTTACAAGTGCCATAATATTTTCTATTGTGCTTCTAGCAATAACGTACACTACTGTAAAATAAAGCGACAATAGAAAATTAGTTAATAATAACTAAATAAAATCAATAACTTAAGTATACAGTCGAGTTTTAATTTCCCTCGTACATACTTGTCTATAGTATATGGTGGCTTAAATTTAAATAACAATAAGCAGAAATAGAAAAATTCCAGGATCTGGTTTGTGTATGTACGTTGTATTATTTATGGCTAGATATTTATAGATGGTAATTTCTGAAATTTAAAATTAATATTGTGTTTGGCAGTCGAATAGTGTGATTTAAACTGTGGACACTGTTTATGATATTTGCTACTTATGCTGCCTACGGAAATAATTATAATCATAGTATTGTTTAATATGTATAAGATTTTATAAAGTAAGTAAGAATTATATATATTATTAGTTATTATCTGTCTTTTCATCTTATAATCTTCTTATTATACAGTAAAATATACACATTATTTTTTTATTTTTTTTTTTTAGCGTTTTACAAACCTTGAAGGCCTTTTGCTGCTTTTACCTCATTTCCCCATAGTTCCCAATCATCCGCATCTTCAATTTTTGTCGTTCCCAAGCTTTCCAGATCTTTATTTACTTTATCAAGCCATCGCTGGCGGGGCCTTCCTCTTGGCCTCTTGCCGTTGGGCTTATTGATTAGTACATTATGAATTAGCTTATCCTTTTCCCTCCATACATGGCCAGTCAATCTAGTCTTTTAGCTTTCAGACATTCTTGTATATTTAGTTTATTGAAGATGCTTTCGATGTCCTCATTTTTTTCTTCTCTCCTCTTGTTGTTGACCAAGTCTCGCAAACGTACATCGCAATAGGGCGTAGGTAGGCTATATACAGCTTCGTTTTAGTTAGTCTTCATAGTAACCTTGATGACAATATGCTTCTCATAGTGTGATATCCTCTATTTACCGAAACAAGTCACAGTTTAATTTCATTGTGCATGTCATTTCTTTGGTTTATATTAACCCCCAAATATTTAAAATCTTCAACTTGTTCAAATAAGTATTGTCCAATCCTGAGACATTGCATAACTGTCGACTTTCTCGTAATAATCATAAATTTTTTTTTGCTTTCATTAACTCGGAGTCCCATTTTTTCACTATTTTTTAACAAATTTATAGTACTTGTTAACTCAGGTTTAGATTCTCCAAGAATAACGATGTCATCGGCGTATGCCAACAAATTATTCCCTCCAAGCATCTCCATTTCCCTACTATTTTACATTTCTCTAATTATTCTTTCCAAGGCTAGGTTAAACAGTGTAGGAGAAAACGCATCCCCTTGCCTTAGTCCATTCCTAACCTCAAACTGTGTTGACATTTCTCCTAGGTAGCGCACCCTACAGAAAGTGTTCGAGTAACAATTTCTAATTAGTCTTCCAAGTTTGCTTGGGAAACCAAAATCTTCAAGTGTTATCCATAGTTGATTTCTGTTAATACTATCATAAGCCTGCTTAAAACCAATAAAAATCATATGTAAGTTCTTGTCATATTAGTAATATTTTTCTATGGTTTGTCGTATGGTAAATATATAATCACTGTCGAGTTTCTTTTTTCGGAAGCCACATTGATATTCACCAATTATCTTTGAGGCATACTTTTCGATTAATTCAAAATAATAGGTTCTATTAGTAATGGCGGATGAAAAAAGAGGAAGGAAACCGAAAGCTATTAGAGATCTTATTGATAGTGAAATAATGGAATTCAGAGATCAAATTGTTCTGGAAAATAATAGTAAGTTAAATAATTTTTTATTTTAATATATCTTATTTGTATTAGTTGTTAGTTTAATTAGTTAGTAAATGTCTTATGATAACAATGTAGATTATATACCTACCACGCGTCTCTTGTGACTGGGTTTTGTAGTTGTACGGAATACCTACACAGTCGCGTCGCAAAAATTCAAATCGCGTCGCGTCAGTCGCGTCAGATGCGCGTCTACAGCAGTGGCGGATTACCTACTAGGCTCATGAGGCACGAGCCTAGGGCGGCAATTTGTAAGGGGCGCAAATGTTTTATATTTTATTTTTTTTACTTTCAAAAAAAAAAAATATTAATGACATTCAAAAACTCATTATTTTTGGTATCAGAAAATTCAAAATTTAATAATTTAAATCTCTGGAGGGAGCCTATTCTTGAAACGTCAATTTGCGTGAACGACTGCGGCAGTTCGAAAACATTACGTAATGACAAACCGCCCAATGAGAAATTATTGGTTACTTGTTTTAGTTATAACTTGCTTTATTATTACGCATGAAAAATACGTGGCGTCGCGGCTACTAAATAAACCAAAATCGTCGAGTTTTTCTCACTAATAAGGCGACTGAGAATATTAAATATCGATTTAATATAAACTGATTGACGATAAGTCGATAATATTGTTGGTGAATTCACGAGTATTATAAATCAATTTATCGGTGAAAATGTTTGAATATTCGATCGTTCAACGAAAAGATATGATTATTTCCAACCCATATTATACAATATACGTATGAGTATATACTAATTGACACAGTGACGATCGTAATCCTAATGAAATTATTTGGGTTTATTATTATGACTATAAATTGAGTATGTGTTTAAACACAGAAGTACCATCATATTATTTTTCAATTTATTTTTCTGTGAACGTCTGAATACATTGGTTGCCCTCATCTGTTGTAGTTTTGTATACCTACATAGACAGTGGCTGTTTCTCTGCAGCGTAGTTCGAAGAAGTAAAACTTTATTTCTTCGAGGTCTATTAAATTATTCGTAAGTATATATTATGATATTATTGTAATCTACCTATATTACATTGCAGGGCTGTCGCGATGGGAAGGGGGTGAACAGGGCCCTTGCCCGGGGCCTCGCGGCTCGAAACTTGTACTTTTTTATTTATTAATAAGTAATAATAATGATATAAAAAAATAAAAATTCGTGTTTTATATCATAATAATTTATATCGGATAAAGCACGTTGCTTAATAACTGTTCCATCATTATTATTTATTGTACCTATTGTGAATATTATCTTTGCGAGCAAGGAAATATTCGTGCACAAATCTTAACAAAATTAATCTTCATACCGGTTAAGTTAATTTGAGTTAATTTGTACAGCAATAATTATTATTAGTAGGTAAAAGTTATCTGTAGGAAAGTAGGTATAATTAGTAATTACCGAAGACTTTCCACATTTGTATTTTATTCTTGAAAATGGAAGATATGGATATTTTGTTTTTCTAATATTTACATTATTCGTTAAGATTTTTCACAAATATTTAAGAATAATTTAGGTGGTTCTAGTTAGTCATTAATCATTAAAATATATTAATACGGTATTACGACATTTCAACATGTTTAGTGATTTCGCCTTTTCGGTCACTTTTCAGTAGGATTCGATAAGTAATTTAAATCATAAACCAGTATTTTCAGTTTAAATTTAATGTTTTTTGTGATAAATTGTCGTGCGCTAAAAAGTACACGCTGAATTTATCGCGCCCAATTGATGGTACACGTACACCCGTTAATATATCAATAAATAAGTAACATATTATGTTAGATATTGCCCAGTTTTAAAATTATTAGATTAATAGAATAAAAAATATACACGTCACGAAAATAACACATAACGTGTAAATAAAATCTAGTCATCAAATATGATGAAATCACAGAATATTAATTTTTCGTCCAAAGAGTTATAAAAATAGATCATTGTTATTTACATAAAATCTATTTTTATGTAGATATTAAATATTCTTTATGCATAGCAAATATTTAAATTTTAAATTTTTTATTATTTTTAATTTATATATCTCTTATTTTATTGTGTATCTATATTATTTTTTTGTTCTTTTGAAAAAATTACCACCCTCAAATTTTAGTTCCGTGCCTGATTTTTTTTATAAAATGAGTAATACTCCTAATACTCGAGAAAAGTTAAGTGGCTTCCAATACCGAAAAGAAGCCAAGAAGAGGCAAGAGGAAGAAGTTTTGAAAAAAACTAGGAGAATAAGTAATTATTTAGTTAAGTTATATATATTATTAAGCAGTCAGGCAATATACTAGTGAACGAAATGTCTGCAATTAGAAACGTAAAAGTTCAAAATAAAGGGTCATATTTTTCAATTTTCACACTTTTTTTTCAATAATTTTTTATATTTTAGATGCATACTTTGCTATGAATACAGATGATGATTCTGTGAATAATCCATCTCCATGTCCGTCTACATCAACCACTAATTTTGAAAAAAA